AGGTAGCCTAGGGGTACCAGAAGCTCAGGATACTATGGGCAATTTATCTGGTAATATGATTTCTACCTAGATTTCTGACTAATGACATGTTGGAGTTAGGATTCTTGAACCACTAGAAATAGGATTGTACTTATTGGATACCAATCACAAGTGTAGGTATAAGCAAAGTATCTAGTTTATAGGGTTGCACTGGATCTAGCTCATTATACAGGCCAGAACTGAGAAAGTCACACATGATAGTCAGACATCAAGTCAGAAACAATTTAATTGGCAGATAATGTCACTTCCAGTCCATGCAGGTGGATTTATTTGGGGTTTTGTTCATTTCAGTCCTCTCTCTGTGCACCCCTGTATGATGCTATTTGCTATTTTTATTACTTTATTCGCATGACCTATTTACAAGGTATTGCTAAAGTTTTCAATAATATATTACATAAAATGTGATTAACAATATTAATAAGTTTTATATCTATTTTACTTTACTTTACAACATAACAAATGTTGTAGGATCTCTGACTATTTATTTGCAATATCAAAGATTTGAATTATGAAATAATAATTATCATATATAAATATCAAATTTTAAGAAAGTTAACTACTTCGAATGTAACCTAGTTTCAAGGCATTCATCACGTTTCTTAAAACAACCGAAAAGAAATTTTGAGAAAATGTTGAGCAAATCGGGATTATTCGATGACAATATGTTTAGTAAGTCATCAGTTGTTTGGAAATTTATCGGTACATTAAAGTCATTTTGTAGAGTATTTGTTAAATCATTTCTTTGTTGTTCATAATATTTACATGAAAGTGTGAAATGATATTCATCTTCTATTTCATTGGTGTCGCAGTACTCGCATAAACGTTGTTCACGGGGAATTTTTTAGGTAGTTGCATGTTATTTTTCAGGTAGTTGCATGATACATTCAAGCCTTTAAGTAGTGTGGTGGCTTAAGCTGCTTTTCTCATTTCCTTTCTTCACTTTCTTACACTTTTGTCTCTAGTAAAAACTTTATTTTACAACATTTTTATTATATAATGCAAGCAACTCCAAATAGAACTACCACCATACATCATACATCATAACTGGCTGTCAGACAGCGTTGTAAAATAGCTTTCTCTCAAGTAGTGGTAAGTATCTTCGTATCTTTCTCAGCAGGCCGATTTTTTTACAAATGTTTTTACTAAGTTTGTTTATATGCTCTTTGAAAGTTAAATGCTCATCAATGATTACGCCAAGTAATTTTTGTGAAGAAACCAGTTCAATATTTGAATCACTTGCTGTAAAAGGTAAGAAAGATAATTGCATTCGGGATTTAAGGCGTTTACCAGTAATAAGAATTGAATTGGTTTTGTCAGCATTTAGTACCATTCTATTTTTGTCTGACCACTGACATAGTTTGTCTATATCGTGTTGAAGGTTAACTTGTAATTCAGTCGACGCGACAAAGAAGTAGGAACTAGAAGAGAAAGTAGTGTCATCTGCGTATACCGCATCAACAGTTGAATTAAGTATGTTTAGAGGTAGATCATTTATGAAAGCAAGAAAGAGAAGAGGGCCAAGAATGCTACCTTGAGGGACACCATGAGTTATACATAATGGATATGATTTGAAGCCGTTGATTTCTACAAACTGTGTCCTGTCTGAGAGGTAATTTTGGAAAATCTTGAGATAGGTTCATCCACTCCATAAGCTCTTAACTTTTGCAATAAAAGCTGGTGGTCAATCAGGTCAAACGCCGTGCTGTAGTCTACGAAACCAACGCCAGTAACGTGGTTTTTATCAAGTTCAAGAAAGATTTGGTCTAGTAAGCGAATTAGAGCAGTTTCAGTCGAGTGGCGTTTGCCGCGAAAGCCAGTTTGCAGGCCGTATAGGAAATCGTTATTGGATAAGTGTGAATATAGTGCTTCGTAGAGATGTCTTTCGTATAATTTTGAGAGGATCGGAAGAACAGATATTGGTCTGTAATTTTGTTTGTGTTCTACACTTCCTTGACTCTTAAAAATGGGGGTAACTTTGGCTACTTTCGATCTGGGTGGGAAGGTGTTGGTGGATATGCAATGGTTTATGAGACGTGCGACTGAGCTTGATATGGATGGAGCAGCAATATTCAGTAATTTAGGACTCAATCCATCAGCACCTAATGCTTTATTTGCCGGCATAGCATTTAGCATTTGAAATACCTTTTCTGGAGAAATATGTGGAATTTCAATCTTTATCTTTAGAGAGTTTAGTAGAGATTCGTTACAAAAAGTAGACTTTATAGATGATAAGAGACGTTGTGGTTGACTAACAAAGAAAAGAGTTAAAGATTTCGGCAATGCTTCTGCTTTCCGTTACAAGTTCTCCGTTTTCGTTTAATTGACGAACACCGTTGTTTTCTCCCAATGATGCTCTCGATAGATCTTTAATCAATGACCATAGTTTATTTGGGTTATCTCGATATTCATTTACTTTCGATTTAAAATAATTTTTCTTTTTATAATTTTTTATTTTATTTTTGGATGCGTCCAAGACCAATCATATCAGAAAATGGAAATCAATTTACCGATTCTAGCGCTAATGAAAATGGTTTTGGAAGCGTCCAAAACCAATCCTCTAGGAAAGTGGAAGTCAATTGACCGGTGTGTCCAAAAACTAATCGTAGAGAAATACAAACAAATTCACTGATTTTAGAAAAAAATCCCCAGAGAAATGAAAACAAATCAGCCGATTTTAGCGCTTATGGAAATGGTTTTGGATGCGTCCAAAACCAATCTCAAGACAAATGCAAATAAATTAGCCAATTTATTGTAAAATAAATGAGTTAATTAAAGTAAAATATGGCATCGAAGGTTGTCTCACTTTATCTTTCTTGATGGCATTTTAACGACGCCTGTTTATATTATCTCGGTTATAGGCGGGACGGGACGTTTTCTGCCTCCTACGCATGCTCTTATTTTTCTGTTTTTGGCGGCCCATATAGATCAGTGGTTGGGAAAAGAGGAAACTTGTCATGCCGCCTGGATGAATGGACAACTTGCATGTCAGACTAAATTTTAATGTAATCAAATTTGGTTGCGAAATGTTGTAAAACTTGGAAAATATAGTCTTGCAAAGTTTGCAAATTTTGTATATGTTTGTATTACGTGCGGAATTAATTGTTAACATTTTCGGCTCAAGAATGGTAACAATTTCCGCATGTAATAGGCTACAAACATATACAAAATAGGCAAACTTCGCAAGGCGAATCAATTTTCCGTATTTTACAACATTTCGAGTAAACAAATTTTGCAATTTTACTAATTTTAGTTTTACGGGAATTTACTTTTTTTTGCCTAGATCGAAAATTAGTCTGCATGCAAGTTGTCTATTACACTGTACTAAATTTCAAGGAATTGAATGAACTCCAAAAGAGTTATTCTGTGGCTATCTTTAAAAGAGAAACGGGGAATGGAGGAACAGGGGAATATCCGGGGAATGGGGGAATATCTTGGGGAATATCATATTCCCCCCTTTTAAAGATAATCGAGATATTCCCCGATATATTCCCCAACCCCCGTTGCCCCTTTTAAAGATTGCCGTTATCCAGTCTTAAAAAACTAATTAATAATTCAGGAGGAAAACACGTAGAAAAATCATAACCATGTCGTATCTTTATATGTGATAAAAAATCATGTTAATTTACATAAACTTTAGCTTTGATTTTTTCGGTTTAGACGAAGTTTACTTTAAAAATTACTTCGCCAATGAACTCATATAAGATGAGTCATATATAATCCTTCTTCCTAATTAGTATTCTTTTGTTGTCGTATTTTAAGCTATTCAAAACACTCGAACTCGCGTTTTATCATGTCTAAAACGCTCGGCTGCGCCTCGAGTTTTATATCTGATAAAACACTCCTTCTTGTGTTTTAAATACTACATCAAAAACGGTGACAGAATCATAACTCTTTTGGAGTTGATCCAACTTCTTGAAATTTAGTACAAGTGCTTGACGTCATATATTTTTGGCAGCGTGCTCATCGGCAGAAAGAAAGTTCATCCGTCCTAGCCAAGGTTTATAATATATGCCATGGAGTTATAATATATGGATTAGTGTTTATATGGGAATTTTTCATCCCACCTAGGCCAGATTAGCCTGCGAACAGGCTCTCAAGCTGAATTGAGAGCCTGCATCGATGACTAATGGATTTGAATATCTGCGTCTCAAATCGTGACGCGAAATTCTCATTGGTCAGATGTTATAATTTATATTTAAAAACAGTATAAACTGTACGGTCTAAATTTAGTTTCCACGGTCTAAATTTAGTTTGCACGAAAGTTGTAAACAACACCATATAAGGATAGACATTCCATATTTGGAAAAACGAACGTTACGGGGCAGATATTCAAATTCATTAGTCATCGATGCAGGCTCTCAATTCAGCTTGAGAGCCTGTTCGCAGGCTAAGGCCAGATGGAAGTGGGATCATATATAAACACTCAATAGAGTTTAGTTACGATCAACTGTCCCGTCTGCTATACGAAGACAAACTGGATCACCGTCACTTATTTAAATCACGAACTCAGAAATGCCGAAAACATCGTTTACAAAACAGTAAAAGCACAGTAAAAAAGAATTGGCTAAAATAACCAAAAAAGGTTGCTCAGATAGGCAACCAATTAAATAATTTTAGTTATCCTGTTATGAAAATCATAAAATAAGATGAATATCATAAAATGAATATCATAAAATATTATATATATTATTAGAGTAGCAATTTAAAAAAAATCTCAAAAATAAATTAAATTAATTAAATTAATTAATTAAATCCACGAAAATAAAACTAGAAAGCAAACCAGAAGTCTAAAAAATCAAAGTGAGTTTCAAATTTTGTCTACCTTCAAATTGCATTCATGAACTTTATGTCGTGAATGCAATTCGACTGGGCTTTGTATTCATCTAGAGTAGCAAGCGAAAACAAAACATGACTGATATATGATATAAATTCTCCTCGTGAGATTTATTCCTTTGCTGGTTCTTGAATATAATGGGACTGTATGCTTTCAGTTTTCTCAAATTTTATTCTATTATCATTCGTTACATATGACTGATCACTGTTATCGATATACAAACACTCTACAATTTCCTGACTTTCTCACACAAACTTTAGCACTCTTTACACAGTTTACTTTATACATATTTTTGGTCATAACATGCATGCATGGTTCTCGAATATAATGGGACTGTATGCTTTCAGTTTTCTCAAATTTTATTCTATTATCATTCGTTACATACGACTGATCACTGTTATCGATATACAAACACTCTACAATTTCTCACACAAACTTTCGCACTCTTTCACAATCTTTCACAATTCATTTCAACACATTCACAACTCATTCGCAACTCCTCTCAACACACTCCTTTTCTTTGACAATCTCACTCGTATTTATACTCTCTTACTTTTCGTACTGTGGGAACTTTCCCAGAGGAAGTTCAATGTGTGACGCATATTATTCACATCTTCCTCGCTTGGTTGACCACAAGTCAACCCACAAACTTCCCTTACGTACGTACATTCCGTCTTATTTACTAAAATGTTAAAAGTTCCTGGTTTTGTTTAATAACGTTCGTATTCCCTGTTATTCAAATTTACAGTTTACTTCATACATATTTTTGGTCATAACATTGGCATGCATATATAAATTTTTACTATATATTTCTACTGAATCTAATTAAGGGACGGACCATTAGAAAAGTGATGGGGGTGGGGGTGGGGGGGGGGTAAATTTTTTATGTTTGCACTTTTTTCCAGGTTGTCAGCTGTGTATGTATGGTTATTTTTTAAATATGTCTTCTCGCATTTTAAACAAGTCTGATGCATGTATTTTTTTTCAAACCCTTTTTGTTTGCATGGATTTTTTCAGCCTCTAGTTTTCCCCACCCTCCCCATCACTTTTCCGATGGTCCGTCCCTAAGCAACTAATTTACAACAATATACCCGTAGGCACTAGTCAGCCCAATGTTATGGTCGTAACGAAATTCTCGTTTGCATGCGCGCCGGGCGAGGCATAATATAGTTTAAGCCGTTTGGCGTTTTCTGTGACCTTGAAAAGTGCCTAGAAAACGATTTTTGTAGTGCATGTCTTGGAACTGAAATATTTTACGGGAACTGACACTATCGAACACGCTGAGTTCAAATCCGAAAAGTTCCCGCTCCGTAGACCTTGCGTTTTCTCCCATGCAAACTGCTATTTTATCTTCACTAATTTCACGACAAACTTTTTCTTTGTTCAACCACACGGATGGACAATGACACACGAATGCATAACTCAAAATTACTCATTCCTATGAACCAGTCTCTACATTTAACAAAAGACCGTTTTGCTTGGACGTAACTAAAGGACAACAAATCTTGTCCACAACTTTGGGAAGGTGCTGGTTTCGCTTTCTAAAGTTCTCAGTTTTGGCTCTATCTCTATAAAATCACAAGGACGTTAATGTTAAGTCTTTGGGCTATGTCTCTGGGCTAAGAAATAATTCCTTGGCATGCGATCAAAATGTTTTATACCATGCGATGTAAAACGGTAATCTTATGTAATGGGTCGTCAGCATTCGAATTTCCAACAAGTTTCTGAGACGTAATACAAGAGGTAACTTATCATTGCATTTGAACTATTATATCAGTTGGTGTTATTCTGCGCGATAAGCGAATATATATTATTGGGAAAAGGGCTTCCATATACGTTGAAATCACCAAATAAACAGCTCATGCACACATTTCTCTACTTCGTCGTAAGTTTACAGAGCAGATTTTATACTTTCGTACTCTTCTTTGTCTTCAATGTATACATTTATTCTTCTACTTTAAGGTTATTTATGATTGATCCTGTCGTAAGTCTTCAACCAGTAACCCATCAACAATATTTCATGTTAGCGTTATCTTTGCCGTTACGTTGGCTTCGCGTTATTTTCGTTTTAAATACCATGATTGCGTTAAACAAGTTATTTATCAGGCTAGTGACATAGCCAAAATACTTAGCATTAACGTCGTTGTGATTTTATAGAGATATCGCTTGAACTGTGGATGTTAGATAGCGTTATCTGTACCTTCCCAAAGTTGTAAACAAGATATGTTGCTTACGTCCAACACGCATAAGATTACATAACTCAAAATGATTCGAGCGAAACGATCTTTTGTTAAAAGGAAGACTAGTTAATAGAAATTGGTCCTTTTGAGTGACATAAGAGTGTGTCATCGTCCATCCGTGTCATTGAACAATGAAAAAATTTGTCGTGAAATTAGTGAACATAAAATAGCAGTTTGTGAGAAAACGCAAGGTCCAAGGAGCGGGAACTTTTCGGATTTGAACTCAGCGTGTTCAAAAGTGCTAGTTCCTGAAAATCTACAATAATCTACGAGAAATTGTCATTTGTATGATCGCAAAGAGGCACTCATTAATTAACAACTCCGTTGTAGGTCATTCCCTTCACTTCAAACGTCACATCCAGTACGAGGTACAAGTAATAAGATCCTGCGAACATTGTTCTAGATGAGTATCATATTAGCTAGCCTGCGCGCAGACTATATAATGACATGACTGGAGCTAAGGGAGTGTTCATTATTTATACCCGGGGTTGGTACCGAAGAGAAACTAATCGAAAAGGGTAAAAACAACCACCCACCCTTTCGATCAACCATTTTTTCCCCTACCCAACTATTGCATGACTTGGATTTTTATTTTACCCGACCCAAATTCAAAATTATACAAGTATTTTACATATATACATATATATTATTATACAAGCTAGGCCACTCTAGTATAAACAGTACTGTGCGTATTTGGTGCACTAACTGAATGTCAAATATAATCACAAGTTCATATTATGTTCCCGGCAAGCCTCCAAGTTCCTGCAGTCCTACCATATCTCGTTGTTGTAATCAGTGGCGGAAATTCACTTTTTCTGGTGGGGGAGCAAAGCCTCCTAAATTTCCGACAAAACTTTCAAATTTCCGACAACCCCCATTTGCACTCAAAAAGGCTGTTTTTAGCCCTCTTTTAGGTCAAAATTTCCGAAAATTCGACATTTTCCGTGAAGATTTCCGCCACTGGTTGTAATCAGAGGGGATGGGGAGTTGGAGTTTAGTTTTCTTTGTGAGGAATGAATGGATATTTCCTGGAATGACCCATTTTGTTAAATAAAGGATTTTCATATTTTGTTCAATTGAAGGTTTGTATTGAAAATAATTTACCCAACCATAGGCTTTGTTCAAAAAATATTTACCCAACCCTTCATACCCCAGAAAAATGGCTTACCCAACCCATTTCTCTTCGGTACTAACCCCGGGTATAAATAATGAACACTCCCTAACTGCGAGGACTTGAAAGCAATATTTCAAAATCGACTACGAGAACTTCACCGGATATCATTATATTAGTATATCGCCTTAACGTACCAATATTATTCCCCATATGTGAATGCCTTTGTATGGCCATGCTCGTTAAAAAAATATGAAATTGTGCGGAATTGAGAAACATTTTCAAAGATGAAATGCTTCAGTTCAAAAGTTTCACCAATCATGAAATTTTAGTTTCAAAACTAAATATTCTTTCACAGAAGTTAATTAATAGAGTGAAATTTTTGTAAGGAATAGTATACTGTAATTATATTAAATTTGGTATTACCCTATTTATCAGGTTATTGACTCATCGAAGAATGCAGAAGAATGGCAGTTGGAACCTCGTATTTGACTATACTACAGTGTTTTATGCAAACTGATAATTACTACCAGAACGCTGAACGCATGTCTAAAAACGTATCACTAGTAAGAACTCGGAATCGAGATACAGACAAATCGTTATCAAATGAAACTATATAACGTATGTGTGAGAATATCTCCATGATCACTTTGTGTATATGTCAATGCGATTTTCCAAGAATGGACTCATGGTGCAAGTAAGGCAATGTATATTGACTACTGCTATGTTAAGTCTTCAATCTGAAAAAACAGCCGCATGCTTATGCGTGTCGAGTTTATATGAAAGCTGAGGAGATTTTATCATTGTTGTGGTTCAAGCAGGGTTGGCAAAAGACGGCATTTGGTGTCCGTCCACTGCTGAACGGAAGAAGTTATGTAATCATTGGTAGTGATCCGTTATTCTTCCGGTCAGTGCTTGCATAGAACTGAAACTGCCAGAAGCCACAAGTTATATTGTCCTTCACATAAATATTATCAAAACACATAGGAGATTCTCTGGTGTTGCGTGCTGTCAATCGATTCGTAGTAAAATCGAAATATTGTCGCAGTCGTGTGGAACTGTGGTTTTTTCTTTGTATTTTGTTCATGCAGGTCATTCCCTTCACTTCACTTCACTTCACTTCACTTCACTTCACTTCAAACGTCACATCCGGTACGAGGTACAAGTAATAAGATCCTGTGAACATTGTTCCAGATGAGTATCATATTAGCAGGAAAGCTCTTTAATGCCATAAGCCTAGTGAACATAACTCATGACCTATTTAGTAAGTCAGTCAGTTTAATACCATCTGGAGAACCGCATCCTGATATAGCGTCGTCAAATTGTTTGGCTGAAAAAATTGGGATCAGAACAGTGCGCAGACGTTGTCATTGGGAATATCAAGACGTCTGAAGGTTTTATTGAACAAACACTCAGGATGTTCAATTTGTTTGTTGAGATTCTTACAACTATCTCTCTCTTGGCTTGTAAGTACAGCACTTTAAATTGATCTCGCATGTATCTCCGATTTTTCTTTTTGTGTAAATCGTGAAATAAGTTCACACAGTACTGATTTATGTGATTGCGCTCAAAGCGGACTCTATTTGCTGAGGTTTGCAAATATGGCGTATATATCGCTATGATCCACAGGGGCCAGATTAGCGCGTTATCTGTCGACAATCAACATCAATGCAGGAAGGTAGTTATTTGTCCTTCTTAGACCAATGGAACTGTAGATTCTGTTTACCGTCCGAGAATTTAAGGAATCTGATGCGCGTTTTTTTCATTATTCATTTTTCATTATTTTTGTTATTATCTATTTTCTGACCAAAAATGATCTTTAAAGGCACAGTTCAGCCTTTTGAACGATGGTTTTTAAGGCGCATTTCAGCCCTTTTAATTGCAAAAACTAACTAGGAAAATCAATTAAGCATAATTCAAAATCAGTAAACTCGATGTTTTTAACAATAAAAATGTTTTAAAATGTTAAAAACATTAAGTTTGGTGATCTTGAATTATGCTTAATTGATTTTCCTAGTTAGTTTTTTCAATTAAAAGGGCTGAAATGCGCCTTAAAAATCATCGTTCAAAAGGCTGAACTGTGCCTTTAAATCATTTTCTTTTGATCTCGACCATCAACACTTTTGTCCAGCATTCTTTTATCATTTTTGGGCTTTCCCTTGCTGAAAATTTCTTTGTCGCGTCATTGTTTTCGAATTTGCACATATCAGACTCGCGAACATCTGAGTGTACCGAACAATTGCCGACTTGGATCCATCATACATCAGCGATGTACGGCTTTTTATATCGAATATTTGATGATTTGATGTAATATATGAAAGTTTCGATGCGTAGAATTAAAAATAATGACAAGTAATGAAAATAATTAAGAATAATGAAAAATTCTTGCGGCAGTTGCAAGCACATGCGGGCGGTGGACGGTAAACATAATCTACAGTTCCATTGGCCTTATCAGTATATCTAGCCTTTTAACTAAACTAAACGAGAATAAGCACTGGCCAAAGGTGACTTAAATCGAACATAGGTTACTATATACACCTGAGTTTATCTATATTGGTCGAGTGTGGCAGGAAGGTGATAATGATTTTGCAGTATGCATTGCGCCTACTCGGAATTTTAAATAAGAAATTCGTTCGACAACGCTTGCCAATCTGCTCTTTCCAAAGTGCACTCAGATGCCATCTTTCCTGCCAATATCACTGGCAGACTACTCAAGATAGAATGAGCGGAATTCATGCTGTCATGTCATGAAATCAATCAGTTGAGGGCAACGGAACTATACTAACAACACTGATATTCACTTAAAAGCATGCCAAGTTACAACAATAGGGAAATATAACTTCAGCTGGAGAGCCATTAGGCCACTCCAAATTAGACTTTAGTTTCCCGTCCGGCCCTTATTTCAAATTACACGCGGGCGGGCGGTCATTCCATTATCCATTATGGTGTCTGAACGAATCTGACACGACCCATTATTCCATGAAAAAGATACACATTTTAAATATCCATTCAGCCACATTGCTACGGACTGTTTTGGTTTTTTGTATGCAGGAATAAATGCCAGGATATTAATTAACCTTATCCTTTTATTACGTTCGAAAATCAAAACGTGTAACGGAAGTGTCTAGCTCAGCGGTTAGTCGGTTACTGTAGTAAAAGCGAACAAAAACAACAATTCACGCTCTTTCAAAAAAAGTCTCAACAATTTTGTTTCGAATTTTACGTATTATATGATAAATATGAATTTCTTGAACGATAGATTTTTCGAAAACTATGGATTTTCGTTATTCTTAGTCATAAAAGTCAAATAATGGAAACAAGTTAGCAATAATGGACAAATTATGCGGCCAGTTCTAGGAGACGCGGGCGGAGGACGGGAAACTAAAATCTAATTTGGAGTGACCTTAAGCCTAATTTCGGTTGTTATGGTCCGCGCACATGGAGTAACATTTTCCTTTTTGAGCTGGAGGGATTAATAGGCGAAATACAAAACACATAATCATGATATCGTGATAAAAACACCAAACCTAAAAACAATATTTATAAAATGAACGTTTCGTATTTTTTGTTAATACTTGATCATGGACTTAAAGCTTCTAAAGAACTAATCATATTTAATTAATTCGTTAATAATCAACCTAATGATTGTATCATATTTCTTCATATAAATACTGCTTTTGATGTATAACCTAGCTAGTTTATCCCGGATAATGACTGAAATATACAGTCGAAACGTAGATAAATAAATATGTTATCGATTTTTGGAGTTTAACTTGTTTTGTATTTTTGTATCTGCGAAGCAGATATATATGCTATCGCAAACGTGCCGTGACCGTACCGTACCGTATGTTAACACATAGCCATTCAGCGGCGAGCTTATATAATTTAAGCCAATTTAAGCCTATCAGCGATTCGTTTACATCAATTGTTTACATCGTGCCCGCATCTAACCTGCGAACGGGCATACTTTAACCTCGTCAGGCCTCGTGTATAAATCGTGTTTATATTCTTTCAAAAATATCTTGATATTTTTATCAATTTATCTTAATTGGCTGTCTTGTTTTCTCGCCATTCTACTTGCGATATTATTCCGAAGTTATTTATCAACACGGAATCTTATCCTCATCTGGTAAGTAGTCAAATACCACATATATTTAAATACCAAATTTGTGCAAATATATGTCCCACATATTTTATAATACATGAGTTCGCCAGTTCGGCAAATATTTACTATACTATCTATAGTTAATTTAGATTTATACAGTATTAAAAACAATCCTTCTGTGGCTTCTGTAATATTTTAAACAGTGAAAACATTCTCAGGAGATATTGAATTAAATCCTGGTCGTGTATTTCTGTATATTGACTCCGCAACTCTGTTCAAAACAACAGTCCAACTATAAAGCTGCCATGAAATGTAGTGTTAGAGCTGTGGTAGATTTTCGTTCGATCCCCACAATAAGAGCAAATTACGCGTTTTTATCTTGTGTTTTGTATTATAATCCCTTCCCAAATCGCTCCCAGTTACATATATTCCCATGCAATAACAACATTCCTTTTATCTTATGCCTGTCAATCAATTCCATATATGGCAGTCACCTCATCTCTAAATTTAACTATTATTATTAATGTCAACCTTTTTCCCGACACACTCCCCCTATTTAGAACGTAAGTTTTATATCTGTCTTATATACACACGAACGTCTACACGTATTCACCGTCTCTACCCATCAAAGTTCTTCCTCTTCCTGATCATAAATTACTTCAATGTTCTTCCTTGCATCGACAGCCGCTCTACGCTTCGGTTTGAACTCCTTTGCAACAGGATTCAATGGAGCAGTTTCTTGATTGCTTTCTCTATCACAATACAATTCCAAAGGGTAAAGAAATTGTATTGGTCTTTCCATGAATGATTTTCCTGCATGTAGTCTAACTCCACGAACCACTCTGTCTCTTCCGGGTATAAGTTGTTCAACAATCCCAATTTTCCACAGTCTACGATTCTTTTCATCACCTTTGATTAACATAACATCACCCTTTCGTAGCTCTCTCTCTTTCCCGTCATGTGTTAAATTATGCCTTTCGCGAAGTGCTCTCATGTATTCTCGTCTCCATCGTTGCCATAACGCGTCCTTACATTTCTTCAAATACTTCGCCCTCTTTCGCAGGTCTCGTTCTTCTATATCCTCAGGTGATAACTCCATAAGATAATAATTGGCTTTACCGAAGATCATCATGTTCGGCGTCAACACGGGAAGTTGAACGTCATCCTCGCAGTACGATAGTGGTCGATTGTTCAATACGAGCTGGATATCTAGCATCACATCTTGCAATTCTTTGAAGGTAAGTTTGGCCGATCCTACGACCTTGTAAAGAGCTTGTTTCACTATGCTGACCATTCGTTCGAACATTCCACCCCACCAGCTAGCTTTGCTTAGATTGAACTGCCATTTCACACCATGTTCACTCAGATAGCCTTGTAACTTTTCGTTCCGTACGACTTTCTTGATCCATTTGGCAGTAGCCACGAAAGTCTTTCCATTATCGGATATGATCTTCTTCGGACGACCTCTTGCTGCGATAAATCTTTTAAAACTCATCAGAAACTCTTCACAGCTCATGTTTGGCAGAATCTCCAAGTGAAGTCCTCTAGTTAAACTGCAGGTATAGATGAGTATATATGACTTACGCTCAGCTCCCCCATTTCCCTTGTAATAGATTGGTCCGGCATAATCGACACCAGTTACTTCTAAGGGGATTTCACCTTCAGTTCGTTCTTTTGGAAGATTCCCCTGAGGTGGAGCGGGCATTGGCGTTGTGTAAAATCGTTTACACCCATAGCATTTGCCAATAACTTTCTTCACAAGACTTCGTAATGTAGGGATCCAATAATCACCGCCAGCCTCTCGATTTTCTGCCGCCTCTGAATTTTTTTTTATTTTTTTTATGTAAGTCTCTTCGTTTTACAGCTTAAAACAGTTTAATATTTGAAATTTTTCTCATGCTCAGACCTTCGCGCTATCTACTGATCGATAGGAGCGCGTAGGCTTGGGTATACAAGGTTCTTAACGCAAAATGGCGGCCTTCGCAACATCAGTACAAAAAATATCACCGATATGGTGGAAAAACCGCCCCCCATCCCCTCCAAAAATACTATTAAAAAATTAAAAAACGAGTAAAAATTTAAAAAAAAATTCCGCCCGCCTCTGAAAATTTGTGAGAGTGCGACGCTAACCAAGTATTTTTTTATTTGGCCTAAATTGTAACATGAGTGCATCTATTGCAGATAATAATACTAAACATTTACTTGAACTAAGTGAGTCATATCAATATACACAACTTATTAAGGAGTCAACTAGAGTTACAAATAGCTCATCCACGTTAATCGATCTCTTTCTTACTAATGAACCGAACAACTTTACTTCTGCGGGCGTTATAGTTCTAGGTATCAGCGACCATAACTTAATTTATGCTATCAGAAAACACTCTAGTGTTAAATCTAAGCCTATAACTATCAAATCCCGCAATTATAAAAATTTTGATGAAACTTCATTCAAGCATGACATTGATGCTATTCCTTGGCAGTACACAGTTTCCTTAGATAATCCTATAAATGCTTGGCAAATTTGGAAAAAAACTATTTCTTGATGTTGCTGACAAGCATGCTCCAGTCAAACAAAGAAGAATAAGGAAAAATTGTGCCCCATGGCTCTCTGTAGAAATCAAGAAATTAATATGGGAACGAGATCGATTGAAGCGTAAAGCAGTTTATACTAATGATGAAAATGATTGGGTCAATTTTAAAACGGCTAAAAATCTAGTTAACTATAAAATTAGAGATAGTAAAAAGCAATACCAATATTATAATTCTTTGTTTCAACTCAACGTAGGTCGAACTAAAGAAACTTGGAATGGTATCAACAGTCTTCTTTCTAAATCTAAAAATTCAACTACAATACCAAAAATCTTGCAAGATGAAATCGAAATTACTGACCCAGTAACTACTAGCAATGTTTTTAATAAACACTTCACTGAAATCGGACCTAAATTAGCAGCGCAAATTCCAACAACTGGTGCGGCCTCTTATAACATACCACAATGTAATGAAGTTTTTGAATTACATGAAGTTACTCCATCTCAAATAGATGGAATAATTTATAAATTATCGACTTCTAAGGCTAGCGGTCTTGATAACATTCCTGTTCGTTTATTAAAACTAATTAATTTCACTACTGTGGTTTCACTTACTAACATTATTAATCTAGTAATTCGCAAGGGAATTATTCCCGCTGACTGGAAGTGTGCCAGGGTATCAGCAATTTATAAACATGATTCAAAACTAGATTTGAATAATTATAGGCCTATTTCAGTCCTTCCAGTAGTTTCAAAAATTTTTGAAAAAGTTGTCTTTGACCAAGCATATGCCTTTTTAAACAAAAACAACTTTTTATCTGACCATATGATCTGACATACAGTCAGGATTTAGACCTCTTCACTCAACGTTAACAGCTATGCTTGATGTCACTGATAAATGGTACACTAACATGGACAGTGGGTTAATAAATGCTGTCTTATTCATTGATTTAAAAAAGGCTTTTGATACCATTGATCATAACATTTTACTACAGAAGTTAACTTGTTACGGTTTCAACAAAGAAACGATTGATCTTTTTAGAAACTATCTTTCTGATCGTACTCAAATAACAGTTATTAACAACATACGATCTGATACTCGTAAAGTAACATGTGGAGTTCCTCAGCGGTCTATCTTAGGTCCACTACTGTTTTTAATATATATAAACGACCTACCTAATAGTGAATTGGTATCAGATGGGCGTTTATTCGCTGATGATACCAACTTGACTTTTGCGGACAGCAACCCTGACAAGTTGATTTCTGTTCTAAATGACGACCTTAAAACTCTCCAAAACTGGCTTAATCTGAATAAACTAAGCCTGAATGCGATTAAAACTAAATGTATGTAAATGGCATCCAGGCAAAAATTAAGTACTATTCCTGAAGAACCTAATACTGCTATCTCCGGAAACAAAATTGAAAGAGTTAGATCTTATAAGTGTTTAGGTTTAAAACTGGACGAGAGTTTGACATGGGAGCATCATGTTTCTACTATAATCTCGAAAGTCTCCAAGGTGATTGGAGTTCTACGAAGACTAAAACCATTGCTCCCACAGTCAACTCTTGTCATGATATATAACTCTTTAGCACAGCCATACTTTGATTATTGTAGTATTGTCTGGGATAGCCTAGGTAAGGGTCTTGGACAAAAGTTACAGCGATTACATAATAGGGCTACAAGAATTATTACTGAATCTGATTATAACATCCGGTCATCATATATTTTAACATCATTGAATTGGACCAACCTTGAAACCAGACGTACCCAACAGTTCAAAACTTTTATGTACAAAATATGAAAATTTACTTCCACGTCAATGATACACGAACATAGTTTGCGTGGATCTAATCATAAACTTTTTGTACCAGACCCTTAACGGAATCCTTGAAGAAAAGTTTTTTCCTACAGAGGAGCTACCCTATGGAATGACATACCCGTCGAACTCACTAGAGTTCAATCTCTCGCTGAGTTTAAATCTAAAATATCTTTCGTTTAAATCTAATCTAAAGTTTCTTTGCATGTGTAGTTTGTTACTTTTGTAAATAGTTTGATACCTTTTTATTAGTAATTAGTCTACTAGTATAGGTACACGTCTCCATTGAAGAGCACATAACATAACCTGTGAAATGGACCTCGTGTTTTAAATAAAGATGTCAATCAATCAATCAATCAATCAATCAATCAATCAATCAATCAATCAATCAATCAAATACTAGAGATTTTTGTTTAGAAATATTGCTTGTTCGTGTCGCTACTATAATCGAGCTCCGCAACCATGAAATATTTAAACAAAGTATATTAAAATTTGATATTTTGATCAACTCCCATATACAGTAGTTAATAGTAATATTTGGTCGCCATATTTGGTCAAAGTGCGCATGTCCGTCGCCATCTTGTCCCATATTTCTGGTAATGAAATGACCACATACTCGTCAAATAAAAATTGCCGGTTGAAATCACATTCTTCCACCGTTGGGAATTGAAAATATATTAATTATGCAAAGTTAATCAATCCAAAAGCAACACGAGCCTGCTGCAAGGTATTTGTTTCGTAAAACGTTTTGATTACGAATGTTCTTTGTTCAGTGGTTAATTGAACCATGTTTAATTCAATAATGGACGTTCTTGTCCATGGGAGGTCGCCAAAAAAAATTTTCCGGGAAAAATTTTTTAGTACTAGTCGGGCAAAATCACGAAAAGTCGGGCAATTTACGAAAAGTCGGGCAATTTTCTTTCCGCCCCCCTAATTTTTTCCTTCCGGTACGCCCATGGACGAGTATGTGGCCATTACTCATCGTTACGATTTAAAAAGAGTATCATTAAATAGCTAAATAACTTTCGTCCTAAGTGAAAATTGAATTGTTTAGCTAAGTTTATGATGCACGATCGCCTGCTGAATTTCCATAGCGTTTTTTTTTTACACACCCTGTACTATATAGAAGGAATGAAACACCGGTCACGTGATTTTATAAAATGCGTCTAATTTAACCGTTTCGACAAAATTTGATTATTTTACAACGTATTTAGCATTCTCTTAGACGATGTTATAAATTCTCCCCCTGAGATTTATTCCTTTGCTGGTTCTCGAATATAATGGGACTGTATGCTTTCGGTTTTCACAAAGTCTTATTCTTTTCTCGTTCGTTTTCTCTACCTAAATAGGTAGTCCAAGAACCAAAAAAGTGGTACGGGTCCCAATTTTATCCGTGCCGTACCAAAAGTTGAGCGTAGTGTAAACGGGGCTTTATTTAAAAATATCTAAAAGCTCCTCTTTTTGTTTAACGTTCGTATTTCCTGTTATTCAATGTTCCAGTTTACTCATATATTTTTTTATCAGAACATTATTGGCATGCTTATATAAATTTTTACTAAATAATATTATTTTCACTAAATGTATTCTATATTGAATCTAAGCTACTAATTTACAACAGACGAACAAAGATATCTAGTAAAGAAATAACATAGACAAACCTTTCCCTAAATGATTTTTAACTGCAGGCTTTCTTCGCAATTTTCGCCGCGATATGTCTGCCAAAAGTAGCCTATCCAATCGGACGACGTTCGGCATTCGTGAGATGCTAGCTAGGATTTGCATTCAGATTTTAAAAATAGCAGTGATTTGTTGCCGCTGGTATAGACTATACCGCAGTTTCAATACTAAGTTTTAATAAGTTTTTTAAAATGTAAATAATCAGAAATTGCTCTATAAAATCAAAAATAGCTTTGATCATGAGATGCATTTCTGAACTGCGTCGGAAATCTCCGAGTGGATAGGCTACTCTTGGTAAACATCGAACGATCACATAACCGATGTTTCATCCCTTCTATTATTAATTTATACTATTACCTCATAGGATTCTATAGTACTTCATATAGATAATATTTTTTGCTTTTTCTCTGTTGACATTCTTGCGAAGAATTTATGCAAATCGTTTAAAGAGTCTAGGCCTGGTCAACGACAATGCAATGCGCGCTTTTGTTTACGTTTTTCCGTTACTTTTATCAATTGTTGCCGCCATTTTCGAGGCCACACAAAATGGCTGCCTCTGGCCCACAACGTAACAGAAACGTAAACAAACGCACGCATTGCATTGTGGTTGACCACGACGCTTTAAAGTAAGTTTATTATTTTGATTATTTCACACTTGTTACTGACAGTATCACTGCCAGACTACTCAAGATAGATTAGGTTAGACCAGAGCAGTAATTTTAAGATCGATCAGACGTCGAATATTTGATCTTAGCCTAGGGGTAACATGCATTGAGTGGAATTCATGCTGTCATGTCATGAAATCAATCAGTTGAGAGCAACGGAACTATACTAACACTGTACTACTGATATTCACTTGCCAAGCATGCCAAGTTACAACAATAGGGAAATATAATTTCAGCTGGACGTTTTCCTTTTTGAGCCGGAGAGATTAATAGGCGAAATACAAAACACGTAAACATGATATCATGATAATAACATAACTCAAATGCAAAGGTATAGGTTTATGGTCGTTTTATTCCGGCCGTAAATAAGTCATTTCTTATTTTACATCGCACATATTTTAATACAACAAATTAAAGCTAAAAATCTGGTTTGTCTAGCTGTCATAATCTCAAATTGGTGTAATATAAGCTCGTCAAAAGAAGTTGTATTGGATTCTTTTGTGGTGATTTTGTATCATATTGCACTAATTGCAGCGTCGCTCGCTACAAGCAGGAATTTTGGTTCATGCACAGAATATCTCGGTCCAAGAGCCTGGGAACGAGGTTGAATATCTCGGTCGTCATGGTCCTATTCGTTTGAAATCTGTTAGGATTTATTGTACTTTTACTATTTTGACCATTTGAACTTTAAATTCAAATTTTGTCTGGCATTGCCTTCCATAGCAACAACTTTATGGCGTCGTAACTTGGTCTTGGGTGTTTAAAGCACACTTTATATTATGGATTTGTGTGTTTGACCTGTTAATAACGACATTTTCGTACATATTCTATTTCATTGGCTCAATATTTTGTGATTTATGTGACGTTTCATGCATGGTTGCTAGCTGTGTTGCTGGATCGGTATTATTCATAAATTGGTCTCAACTTCAGCGATTTCCGCTCATTTACATCAACTGCGTGAATATTTACTATCTGGCGTATGTGTTGTCTTTGTCGGTTGTCCACGTGAATCATTTATCTCTGGCCTCTGGGAAACGATTTATGTGAAATTAATTTAAATATTTACCATTTTGAAATTTCATGAACTATCAACTATTTCTATAGCTAACAAACAAACATTAGCAACAGCTAAAAATCTATATAATAGTTTTGTTTGTGGAAACACCACTTAATAAACAGTATTGCAGTAATAAACTTACGTGGTGTTTCCTCAAACAAAACTATCATATGTTTTATCGCCATGCAAACTTGCAAAGAACTTAAAAATCTATAGTTATAATTCTCTTGTCAATTCTCTGCGTGTTTCTAAAACTGCAACTGAGTCACATCAATTGTCATCCCGACACTAGCCCGCCTTTGGGAAATTTAACAATTAGTCCAGATCTTGCAATCCTCCCCCTCAACTCGAGATACAAATTTGAGAAAATTCAACCTTCCAAAATATCATCGCTACTCCTACGGTATAGAACTACGGACCACCAAGTTTTCAAGTCATGCACTTATTTGCATTTTACTACCTGGCGATATTGCTACTAATCCTGGTCCTAACACTGCCCCTTCTACCGGCTTAATTGTTCTTTGTCTGAATGCTCGGAGTATTAAATAAAGTTTTCGTCCCCCTTGATGGCGACCCTTCGCGCAATGTTTGTAAAATGTCCATACTACAGGAGTTGGTATGAAGTAATGACTATGATGTTGTCTCTATATGTGAAATATGGGTGCATGAACGACTCTTACGGGCATTTACCGAAAATATCGACCTGGCAGAACTGCATGGTGGAGGTGTTTTAATTGCTGTTAAGTCTGGCATCCGGTCCAGTCATCGAAAAGACCTCGAGAGAGACAATATCGAATTCGATAATCAGTTATTCTCTTGACGAAGGGCCTTCGCTCCAAACATCGAGTTTCTGCTTGTTTTTTTTTTCAGGTAGTAATATAACCACCATTTAACACAGCAATTTCACATTGGTACAGACAGCTTTAGTATATATCTTCCAGAACTTCGACAAGATAAAGTGATGAACTGCATCAACTCAATTCATCTTTACAATGGAATTCTGAACCAGCTTCTGTTATCGTAGTTGGCGATTTTAACCTTCCCACCCTCAACTGGTCACCTGATGAATCTTCCCTTGAAGGGGGGTACGCACCTCCCCCCCAAAAAAAAATAAATTCGAGCACCCCCCTGAAAAATTCGGAAATGGCGTGCATAGTGTAGGTTTTTATTAAAGGGCCTACTCACATAGCAGGAAACAAACTCGATTTGCTACTATCAAACTGGCCTGAAATGATTGACCATGTTTCCACTCTCACTCCGGAGGAAAGCACATTTCCCTCTGAATGATCATTTCCTAGTGAATGTTTCCATACGGCTGAAATTTAAACGAGCAAGGCGTGTGCAGCGCAAAGCTTAAAATTACAAGAGAGCAGATTTTCAAGATCTTCATAGACTTTTACAGAATGACAATGCTACACTTCTGACAATATTCAGTAATATTTCCTGTTCTCGGTAGCTGCAGTAGAAAAATGCGTTCCTGTTAAAGTCATTAAAGGTACAAACTCTCCTCGCTGGATTGACGGAGAAATCAGGTACCTAATGCGCAAAAATTCGATCGAGCTCTCAAAAATATGAAACATCGCATAACTAGACCCGAAGAACGTAAAAAATACTCAGATCTCTAAGTAATAACATGAAAATCTTTGTTCGACGTAAACATCGTGATTACCTTCACAAAATCCAAGATTCTTTCAGTGAAAATCCAAAACTGTTTTGGAGCTATCATAAAGCAGTATTACATCATCACTCAGGGGTTGTCTCTATTATTACCAGTAATAGACTAACAGCCAAGACACCAGCAGAGAAAACTGAACTTTTTAACACGTACTTTTGCTCTGTTTTACTTCACCCAACGCAGTGCCCAGTTTTCCCTTTCCCCCCAAAAGATCGGATATAAAATTCTCTGATATAGAGCTAACAGTGTCAGCTTGTTTGTCTAGTTTAGACACATCAAAAGCCACCGGTCCTGATGGGATACCCGCACGCATTCTAAAGCCAGTTTTCCACTTCGATCGTATCGTAATGTACCGTAGCATTTTCTTTTGTGCTCAGGAGCCGGTTGTATAAAACTCTTCTCATACATCATTAGATATTCATAGCATTTCGGCCAATGACATGGTTTAATTTACATCACGTGTATCTATCTGGATACCCCGTCTAGACCAGGACTTTAATTACTTCAAGTGGGAAGGGCTTTGAACAATAGGGAAATTGAGGGGTAAACAAAAGATTATGCAAATATATTTAATTGCTAAGTTTAGAATTATTTCTAAATACAGTAAGTTGTATTTAGAAATCTATTCTAACTACACTTTATAGCTAACACTTTTCCTGAACGTTTGAAAACTACATAAATATAGGAAAACCAACTTTTTTACCAACTATCATAATAAACAGCGCTTTAAACACTATAATACAGCAACTTACCAGTAATGTTTACCGTCTATAAAATATATATTCACTTCGGCTCTTTCATTTTCCACCAGATAGCGCCTTATCGCACACACAATCTGATATATCGTTTTTCGGATCCCCAACCTTGTCAGCCGAGCGACAATACTGTGCACAATACTGTGCTCAACACTTTCTGGTCCTCGAAACCGCTTTTTCTTATATTATAAGAAGATACCATGCTCTTTTGCCAACAAAATTCATCTATTCACGACGAAAGCGAACTGAATGCTTCGTTGCACTTCATGCAAACTTTCAAGCGAATGTAATCGTTAATGCCCACGCTCACTTTTTTGAATATCTAATAATTTCATGCCTCATTGCTATGAAAGTCTATAATGATGTGTGAGAAGCAATTTCAAATCCTTGTTAGTGTTTTAAACTTGGCTTCCAAATCCCCAGTGCCATGAACAATGGCTCGGCTGCGCCTCGTATTTAGAAACCACGTCTAAAACACTAACTCGGATTTGAAATATTACTTAATCACTTTTTTAATCACTATTTTGTAGTTAAATAGTGATTAACTCTCAAATACGCGCTTCTTATTGGATGACATTTCCACTTAACTATGATTAACTTTAATCACTTTTTTATACAACCGGCCCCAGGAAATACCTAACCGTACGATACGGTTGAAGTGGAAAACCGGCTTAAGGAATGTACGTAGCACGGAAATCGCACCAAGTGTTTGTGCACTGTTCAATCATGTGCATTGTTCAATCATTGTTCAGTCATTGTTCAATTGAACAATGATCATAACTCTCTACGCATTGGGCGTTTCCCTGCAGAATGGGAAATAACACCGGTCCATAATGGGACGTAACACCGGTCCATAAGAAGGATAATAAAGAACCGCTGAAAATTACAGACCTATCTCTTTATTGCCCATAGTGGTGAACAAGGCGATGGAACGGTGCGTCTGTAACAGATTCTACGCTCATATCTAATTTAGACTAATTAGTTCTCTTCATGAGCACGCTTTTATACGTAATCGATCATGTGTAACACTGCTTCTGTATGTTCTCCACTCGATTGGAAAATCACTTGACCAAAACACTCAAACGGACAATTTATATTTGGATTTTGCCAAGGCTTTTGACTGTGTAGACCATGTCATTCTCATTGAAAAGCTTAAATGGTATGGCGTAACGGGGAATCTTTTTAACTGGTTTACTGACTATCTTAGCGATAGATCGCAGAGAGTTTTGATAGACGGTGTAGCTTCTCGGTACCTACCATTTACTTCCGGTGTTTCCCAGGGAAACATTGTAGGACCTCTGCTGTTTGTTATTTTTATCAATGACCTACTTGATATTATCCAGGAACAGACAAAAACCGGCCTCTTCGCAGATGACACCAAGTTGTACCGATCAGTAAATCTATTGTCTGGATAATGTAACTTTACAACGCACTCACCAAGAAAACGATCTGGGAATTATTCTCAAAAGTAACTTATCCTGGGATTCCCACATTTTCTCAATCGTCAGTAAAGCCAACATGATGCTTAGTATCCTAAAGAGAACATGTCCCCTGATTAGAGACACTAAAGTTAGGCGAACAGTATATCTGGCTTTGGTAAAATCAAAGTTGTGCTACGCAACGGAGGTGTGGTCCCCAGCTGATGTGAAGCCACAAGTTGCATTAGAAAGAGTTCAAAGGCGCGCGCTACATGTTGGATTCTAAAAAGTAAAGTTGGAAAAATGTCTTATGAAGATAGACTGAAGACTCTAAATTTATTGCATTATATAAATCATAATCGAACTATAAATGCATTTTATAAATATAATCGTACTCGTACTCAGAATCCATTTCTAATGTTAAAATCTCCATACTGCAGAACGTACACTTTCCAAGGATTGTTCTTTAATTTAACCGAATAATTAAAACTTGGAATAATTTTGGAAAGATAGCCTCTCCTTTTAAGAACCCCCTTTACCACCAACACGCAATCTACCCAAGGATCGAACGCAAGGAAAGAGACCCTTTCAGGTGAGTGGAGTTCACTATGTGGGCCCATTCCTGTACAAAAACACGCCACGATCTTCTGAAAGGGATCGTGAAGAATGTTGAGTTCAATATAAAACTGTATGTTATCCAAATATTAGTATGACGTAATACTGAGAGACAAATGCATGATGGGATTGTTGTGTTGTTAGTTGAACTTCCTCGTGAAAGCAACTTACTGTACAAAACTACATTTGTAATAAACGTGAAAACAAAGAGTGTTTCATGTGTTCTAAAGTCATGGCTTCAACAGGTTATGGGCCCAGCAGAGAATCACGCTGGTCAAGGTTGACTTTCGATGGAAACGAAAGCAATTACGAACTGTGGGAAGCGAAATTCCTCGCGCACATGAGGTTATTAAAACTAAAGGATACTATCCTGCCGTCTGAAGAAGAGGCTGACGCAACAAAGAACGAAGAATGCTACGCCGAGCTTATACAGTGTTTGGACGACACCAGTCTGTCATTGGTAATGAGGGATGCTACCGACGATGGCCGAAAGGCTTTACAAATACTCCGAGATCATTATGCAAATCAAGGCAAACCAAGAATCATCACACTCTACACTGAGCTAACGTCACTTGAAAAAGCACTTCACGAGACAGTCACAGATTACTTAATAAGAGCCGAGAAAGCAATAACAGCGCTTAAGAACGCCAAAGAAACGTTAAGCGATGGGCTAATAATTGCTATGATCTTAAAGGGGCTGCCTGATTCATATAAACCGTTCTCGATACATGTGACCCAAAGTGCAAGTGAGATAACGTTCGCGAAGTTTAAGAGCATGTTGAGGAGCTTCGAAGAAACGGAAAAGCTCAACACCAAACCGAAAATTGATCAGGTAATGAAAGCTGAGTTTCCTTCGCAAACAATGACATGTTATGGCTGCGGGAAAAGAGGGCATTTAGTCAGAGAGTGCCCTGCTAAGAGCGAGAAGAAGTGGTGTAACTATCACAAAAGTACAACACACTCGGATAGCACCTGCAGAAGTCAGCAAAAGAGCAAAGACCAAGCCAAACAGGTGTCGGAGAAAGAAAACACCTCTAAAGATGAACATTCATTTGCATTCAAAGTTAACGACGAAGCAACAGGGAAAATCAATCGAATGGGAATGTTGGTTGACACAGGTGCCACTTCTCACATTGTTACTACTGATATTTTAAAGCAAATAGACATGACATTTAAACCATCAAAACATTACATTGAACTGGCTGATGGCACACGAGCCAGTAATATTGCATTGAAACGAGGGGATGCTGAAGTGTTTCTGAAAGATACAAATGGAAAATGTGTGAAAACGGTGCTGAAAACGCCTTATATATACCATCCTATCCTCAAGATATTTTCTCAGTGAAGGCAGCCACATCAAATGGAGCCGAGCTTCGATTTGCCCAAGATACTGGTGAGCTAACCCTTGAAGATGGTACCATTGTTGAAATTGAAGAACATGGACGGTTGTACTATTTGACTTCCATAGACCGTCATGAGAACGATAGCGTAAGTGAAGTAGATAAAGTAAATCTCTCGTATGATATTAACACATGGCATGAAATCCTAGGGCACTGCAATTTTGAAGATATTATAAAACTACAGGGGGTAGTTAAGGGCATGAAATTCTCAGGTAAAATTGAGTCATCTAAGTTAAGTTGTAATACATGTGTAGAAGGAAAATTTGTAAACAGCAGGAGTAGGATTCCTGATGCAAGATCTCAAAAATCATTGGAGAAAGTGCATGTGGATTTGGCAGGTCCAGTTTCTCCTGTATCAAGAGAGGGGTTTAAGTACTGCATAGCTTTTACTGATGATTTCTCAGGAGCAGTATTTGTTTACTTTCTGAAATGTAAAAGTGACACCTTTGTAGCAACAGAGAAATTTCTAGCAGACATCACTCCTTATGGCAAGGTAAGTTGCATCCGTTCTGACAATGGCTCAGAATTTACAGGTAAGGCGTTTCAAACATTACTAAGGGAGCGTGGCATAAAACATGAAACTTCTGCTCCCTACTCGCCACACCAGAATGGCACCGCCGAAAGGCACTGGCGCACATTGTTCGAAATGGGCAGATGTCTTCTTCTTCAATCAGGGTTACCCAAAACTCTCTGGCCCTATGCAATTCAAACCGCAGCTCACATTAGGAATAGATGTTTTAATAAGAGAACAAAGACAACACCCTACTTTAGCCTTACTGGGAAAGTACCTGATCTTTCTAAAATGTGGATCTTTGGATCTGAATGTTTTGCTTACGAACAGGAGCATAAGAAATTAGACTCAAGATGCAGCAAGGGGGTATTTGTGGGATACGACAAAAATAGCCCTTCTTACCTAGTCTACTACCCAAAAAATGGGAAAATCATGAAACATCGACTCATTAGATTCATCAAGAAATGTAGTGTAGAACAGCAAACACAAACTGATGAGTCCAGCAGGGATTGTGATGTACATGAGAAATCTGATCATGATACTAGATCAGACTTAGATAGTATGAGCCTCCCTGTTTTAAGTGTAATGCCGCCAAATACAGTGCCTGATGAGGAGCCTAGGGATAGTGAGGGAAGGCATTGCAACCATACTGAGAATGACAGTGAGACAAAACGGTATCCTCAAAGAGAAAGGAACCCTCCCAGATACTTAGAAGAGGACACCCTCCTCCCTAAGAATGCCGATTGTGCCCACATTAGTGTAGGTTACTGCTACAAAGTTTGTGGATTACCACAAAATTACACAGAAGCCATGGGATCACCTCAAGCTAGGGAGTGGGAGCAAGCAATGAAGGAAGAGATCAGCTCTCTGAAGGAAAATGATACTTACGAATTATCAACTTTACCAGAAGGTAAAGCTTCAGTAGGGGGAAAATGGGTGTACACAACCAAACAAGATCAGAATGGCTTAGAGTCCTTTAAGGCCAGATATGTAGCGAAGGGTTACAGCCAGGTAAAGGGTATAGATTATCAAGAAACTTTCGCCCCGACAGCCAGTATTACTTCAATTAGGGTCTTATTATTATTATTTATTATTATTATTATTATTATTTAAAAATATTTAACAACGGTAGCCCTATCAGTTATAGTTACTGTTTTCCAAGGGGCCGTTCACACAAGAGGGCGTTCACACGTATATACATATATACATACACATACATCTACATATATATATATATATATATATATATATATATATATATATATACATACAAAAGAAACTTAAACTACAAACTACTATTAATTACTATAATAACTATTTACAAGAATATTTTAATGATTTCAAAATATCATATGCAAACTAATCTGCGCCCCCAACAATAGCTCTAAACCTCTTTATGCCCATTGACTTACTTTTAAGATCATTTGTGAGATCATTCCAACATTTTGCACCAGAGTAACTAATGCTTTTTTTCAAGAAATTTGTATTTGGCTTATCTAACGTAAAGTTGTTTAAATTGCTTCTTAAAGAGTAATTTTGATTATCACAAATATTAAACAAATTTCCTATTGAATCAGGTGCGATCCCATTTTTGACCTTGTACATTAATAATGCTTTTTTGTTACGTCTGCGCTCTTCCAACGTTTCCCAGTTGAGTTGGCGCAGTAACTCCTTTGAAGGAACATCGTAACCGCTCCCATGCAGTTAGCAGTAAAACAAGATCTTATTGTCCACCAGATAGACGTTAAAACTGCATATCTGCATGCCCCCATTACTCAAGAGTTATACATAGACCAGCCACAAGGGTTTGAAGAGGTTTCAGAGAGTGGTGAGAGGTTAGTATATAGACTAAAGAAATCGCTATATGGTCTAAAACAATCAGGTAGAAATTGGAACATATTGTTACACGAGCATTTAGCAAATGACGGTTTTGTCAGAAACCATGCTGATCACTGTGTATATAAGAAACAAGTTGATGATAAAATTGTTATCGTCATTGTTTGGGTTGATGACCTAATCATAGCTTCAGATAGTATGCAGTTAATGGAAGAATTTAAAGAAAGTATGAAGACACAATTTAAGATGAAAGATCTAGGTAGAATCACTTTCTTCCTTGGAATGGATTTTAAGCAAAGCAAGGGTGAAATAAAAATTAATCAGAAAAGATTCATTCTTAAAATACTAGAGAGATTTGGAATGATAGACTGCAAGCCCAGGTTAACCCCATGTGAGCAACGATTAGAATTTAACTGTGGTGAATTGACCAACGCCAGACAGTATAGAGAAATGATAGGAAGCCTAATTTATGCCATGACCTGTACAAGGCCTGATTTAAGTTGGATTGTAAGCAGACTGTCTCAAACTCTGTCAAACCCCAGAACGGGAGATTTAATTGCTGCCAAACATGTCCTAAGGTATATAAAGGGTACCGTGGATTATGAACTCTGCTTTAAGAAATCTGATGCTGACTTGCAGCTCACTGCTTATAGTGATTCAGATTGGGCCTCTTGCCTGGAAGACAGGCGAAGTACTACAGGTTACTGTTGTACTCTAACTGAACTCTAATGGAAGTCGAGAAAGCAACCAACGGTTGCCATTTCCACTTGCGAAGCTGAATATGTAGCTTTAGCAAATACAGCTCAAGAGTGTTTGCATCTAACTCAATTGTTAAACGGTATGTATAAGAAAGTACATCAGAGTATGAAGGTAAGTGTTGATAACCAAGGGGCAATTGCACTAAGTAAGAACCCAGTTAACAGACAACGTTCTAAGCATATTGACATAAAGTACCACTTTGTACGTGAAATGTATGTTAAAGGCATGATCGATATTGTATATTGTCCTACCCAAGATATGGTTGTAAACAACGTTCAATTTTACTATATATTTAATAACATTTAAACACATATCACAATAAAACAGCCGGTTCGGCACTGGCGCTAGCTTTGTTATATTTTCGCCATGTCTGGAGGCGTGAACTCTACCAAGAAGGCGGGTTGTGGGCGTGCCACACTAGCTTCTGATTGGCGCGTTGTCTCTACGTCATTACTATCATTTATAATGTTAATATAAACCTGAACCGTTCAATACAATGGTAGCTGATATCCTAACAAAGCCACCCACAAAATGTAAACTAGATAATTTTAAAAGTATCGTGTTCGGTTGTGGTAATTAGTTTATATTCTGATAACAAGTGAGGGTGTTGAGTTCAATATAAAACTGTACGTTATCCAAATATTAGTATGACGTAATACTGAGAGACAAATGCATGATGGGATTGTTGTGTTGTCAGTTGAACTTCCTCGTGAAAGTAACTTACTGTACAAAACTACATTTGTAATAAACGTGAAAATAAAGAGTGATTTCATTACAAATACGTGTTCTAAAGTCATGCCTTCAACAATGCATCCGCGAAATTTGACGAACTTTAGACTTCGCTAGTGCGCGCGTTCCTTTCCCGGGTGTAAATAGCCGGACGAAATTAGTGCCCTCGCCCGGGCTTACGCCCGGAACGGCGCTCCGCGCCGTTGGCTCGGGGATTAAATCAAAGCTCACAAAATGCAAAATAACGTACCTACGGTATATATTTTGGAAACTCTTATATAGTTAAAAGCAGTAATCTTTCCACTATTTTTGTGTGTTCTACAAAAAATATATTAATAGAAATTAAAATTATTAATTATAATTATTTTTAATAATATACATAAAAATGTTACTTGTCTGTGATTGGTTGATTTCAGTGCAGTTAATATCAAACAGCAGGGCAAAATTATGTAACAACGTAGTGCAAAAATCTGTAACAAACTGATCTGATTGGTAGAAAAACAATGAAATCTAAAATCAACCAATCAGCTTAAAGCAGTCCTCCAGTAATGGTGACAGAATGCTTTAAAACAAAACAAACATGACGTACGGCCGCACTTACTAAAGTAACAATTGAGTGCATGCGCAGGTGGAAAAATGGCTTTACCTTAAATAACACTAACAAAACTTATGCAGTTGAGTAAAATTTTCAAGTCGTTGTCCCCAAGCCAACGACGCAGAGCATCGTTCCGGGGCGTTCGCCAACTTTCCAAACCTTGGATGAAACAACTTGCCAAACCTTGGATCTCTAAAGGCTTACTGACTTCGATAAAAGCCAAACAAAAATTATATAAATCAAATTTTTTCAGTAAAGATCCGGAAAAAGTGCAGTAGTATAAACAGTATTCCAATCTACTTAACCAGTTAAAAACTAAATAAAAAAAATGATTATTATAATCAACATTTTCAACTGTACCAAAGTAACCTTAAAGAAACATGGAAGCTTATTGGCACTTTAAAAGGAAAACAAAAGGTCAACTTAATTCTCCAACTAGACTGATGATAAATAATAAACTTTACACAAAGCCAAACGATGTTGCTGAGCAGTTTAATCATCATTTTATAGATGTAGGTCCAAATTTAGCTAGCATGATTGACAGTACAGGCGACAATAGTGACCCACTTAAGTATATAAGTAATAGCCCAACTGATAGTTTTTTTTTCTCACCAACTGAGGAAAATTACATAGCATATCTTTTTTCTAATCTGGACATAAGGAAAGCTTCGTTAGATATTCCAAATAAATTAATAAAATATGCTAGCTTAGAATTATCGAAACCCTTCTCCTATATTTATAATCTTTCGATTATGCAAGGCGTTGTCCCCAACATATTAAAGGTCTCTAGGGAGCACCTGTGTATAAGAATGGCTTAACAACAGACCCAACAAATTTTAGGCCTATCGCATTATTGTCACCTTTCAGTAAAATACTTGAAAAGATTATATGGGATCAACTGACTTCATTTATTGAAAAGCATGAAATTTTATTTCCATATCAGTTTGGCTTCAGGAAAGGATATTCTACAGAGTTGGCCATTTTAGAGATGAGTGATAATCTCAGAACCTCAATTGATAATAAACTTATTACATGTGGCCTCGTTCTAGATTTCTCTAAGGCATTTGATACAGTCGACTATAATATATTACTAAATAAATTAAACAAATATGGAGTTCGTGGTATAGTATTGGATTGGTTTAAAAGCTATCTTCAAAATGGGTTACAGTATGTCAAAATTGGAAATATAGAATCTGAGCTTCTAAATGTTGTATGTAGAATTCCTCAGGGATCCACTTTAGGGCCACTATTATATCTTTTATATATTACTGATTTACCTAATTCGTCAACAAAGCGTTCTTTTCGCTTATTTGCTGATGATGCTAACATATTCTATGCCAGTAAGAACCTTTCTTCAAATATTGAACCTTCATTAAATATTGAGCAAAAAAGTGCATTAAATACTTAGGTATATATATGGATGAGCACTTGACTTGGAAAAGCCAAATACCAAAATATCTAAAAATTTAGGTAAATTTTACGTAATTATTTAAATCTTCCCATGTTACAACAATTGTATTATACCCTCATTTATCCATACTTAAGCTATGGATCTATGAGTTGGGGCAGTAATTACTCAAGCAAATTAAAAAAACTAACTGTGAAACAAAATAATTGTGTTCGTAGTACGTATCTTCTTTGTAAACAATAGACAATCTGCATCACCTTATTATCAATTACTTGAAATATTAAAATTTGAAAATATTGTCAAATTAAAAACTGCTATATTAACACATAAATTGTTTGTCAACCCTTCAAGCGTTCCCTCACTATTTCATAACTTTTTAATGCCTGTGAAAAATATTCATAGTTACAATACAAGGCATGCAGCAAGATGCAACTTCTATCGGCCAAAAATAAGAACAAATTTTGGAAAATTTGCTTTCAAGTACTCTGCGTCAGTGTTATGGGAGAGCATTACAGTTTCCTTAAAAAAATTACCAACGACCAGTAATTTTAAAAAACAGCATGGGCGTACCGGGAAAACAGCATGGGCGTATCGCTGAACAGTCGGGCAATTTTGGTTTATTAAGAAAATAAATGGGACAAATTCTGTAAATTTTGTGATACTTCTAAAATTTTTGTTAGGTCCCTGAAAATTATGGTATGTGTGGAAAAATTTTTTGGCCCCTGAAATGGTACACTGACCAAAATTTTTTGGCGACGGGGGTCGCCAAAACAAATTCCGGAAAAATTTTTTTCGGTACTTGTCGGGCAAAATCCGGAAAAGTCGGGCAAATTTCTCTCCGCCCCCCTAAATTTTTCCTTCCGGTACGCCCATGAAAAACAGTACTGTCAAACCAAATTAATAACCCTTAGTTAAATTGGGAATGTATAACTTGATTTATTTTATACCTCAATGGATTGGTTAAACAACTACTTAATTAATGATTAAGTTAATAAAAAATAGCTTTAATTTTGTGTATTATGCTAACTTTCTTTGCTGCTTATCTTTCTCTTCTTTTGACCAAGAGTTCAATTTATTGACTGTAAAATCCAAATAGTAAATAATGAGATATATGCAATTAGCTCAAAAATTTACCTAATAAATCAAAAGTAGACGGTGGCCAACTCGAAAGCTTATGCTACTTTGGTAACCGTGCACAATTTCAATATCATAATTTGAAAACTTTTTAATGTATTTATACCGAATATACATCATGAATATCTCTTCTAATGTAATATATACGCCAAATAGTGTGAATTAATTGAACTTGAACTTGAACTCGCCTGGGGCGAGGGTACTAAATCCGCCCGGCTATTTACACCCGGGGAAAGGAAAGCATCATCGAAGTCTAAGGTTGTTCATCAATAATCGCGGGCGTGTGACAATGGCTCGTGGGTGGACCTCACTGATCTCAAAAATGTGGCTGTTTACCAGGAGTGGGATAAGCAAGATTTCAGTTTTCAAAAGCATATATTATTTGAAACAATGAGCTTCGTTTTTTGTAGAAATGAGAAGAATTGATTCACTATGGACTATGGGAAATCGTGAAATATAACTAAAGTGCACCCAATCTCAATTATATTTTTATCATCCCATTCTTAAGAACTTCTGAAATTATAAAATTAAATAACTTATTTTGAAGATTTTCGTTTGCTGACTTTGTTTCTGAGATATTTCAGTTTGTTTGGTATGCAAATATCCGGAATTTACGCACAAATGCATTATGATTTAAAGTGGGAAAAGCTTGTATGTGGTATTCACTACTCGAGTTAATTAATTCATTAAAATGAAGTTTGGAGTTGTGGGAGAATTACATACCTGTGTAAAACACCATTTAGCCTATTTATTTCATGATATTTAACTGTACCTTACATTCTTTAATCAGTCATTGTTCACATGTGAAATAGAACTGAAATGATTTGCCTAATTGTTTCAACAGAGCCTCTCCAACAATGTTTGCTGACGACACTAATATTTGCATCGCAGCAAATTCCGTTACGGAGCTTGAGCAATGGCTACTAGCTAATATACTGAGTCTTAACGTAGCTAAATAAATTCATGATAATAGAATCTCGTCAAAGATTACTAGTATACATGATAACGAACACGTAAGGATAGAAATCGACGGAAAGACAATTAAGGGAGTCAACGAAACAAAATCCTTAGGCTTGCAAATAGATGAGCATCTTACATGGGCAT